ATTCTATTCTATTCTATTCTATTCTATTCTATTCTATTCTATTCTATTCTATTCTATTCTATTCTATTCTATTCTATTCCACTCCATTCCATTCCATTCCATTCCATTCCATTCTACCTGAGGTCTAGGGAGCTGAAAAATAAGTGCTCAGTAACATTAGAGCAGAATGAGTTGTGGGATCTTCAGTGAGTTTACTCAAGGTAAAAGTCAAGTGAGCTTCTGCTCTGCAAGAGGGATGCGACACCAAAAATTTCAAGGAGTTACAATTTAGTCATATCTGGTTCCAGAATCCAGACCATGAACAGAAAAGAAAAAATCAGATCCACAGAATGCAGCCCACACCCTGCAAATGTTGAAAAAGACATTGTAGAGAATCTCAGGCCACTGTAGAATTTCTTTGTGAAGGAGGGAAAAGGGAAATAGATAAACATCCATCTGGAAAAAGAGGAGAAGGCTTGCAAATATTACTCAAGTGTGGCTTTTACCTACCAGGTAGAGTTAATGTGAAAATAAGAACTAGAACAACTAAAATATTTTTGGCTTGTGATTTAAAATAAAAGATTAAATTTCTACATCTATCCTTCTACACATTTCAAAAGTAACTGGAATTAGTAATGTCCCATGTCCCATTCTAACCCATGCTAAGTTTTTGGCTAATGTGTTTTATACCTCCAGACTTTGCATTTATTACACCACATTTATAGTCCAATGTATTCTTTAGTTAATTATAATTTAAGCATGGTTGACATTTGAACTGAAAGTGACAGTGTTAATATTTGTAAATTATGATTTAAACTACGGTCTATTCACTATTGTCGATTGAAAGACCAATTCTTATGTAATCAAGGTTTAAATATTTGTTTAAAAAGCTAGGCTAAATAATTTTGTGTAGGCAATGTTTTTTCTGCTTTTTCTTTTTTATTAATGCAAAGGCAGAAATTGTGGTTTATTAGATAAGTCATAAACAGCTACCCTGTTTCTCCAACAATATGGCCTCCCCCAATAGGAAGTCCCAGCATGTTTTATAGGCATGAAATGAAATTAAGCCCCTCCCCCCAAATTAAGGCCTATATTAAAACATGCGAAATGGGGGGGAATGGTGGGGGGGCTTGCCGTTAGGAAGTACTTTTGTTGCACACCAGGATATGGTGCTGCCTGCGTTGACCCCGATACGAAGTGCCCCACCAATGCCGAGGTCAACATCCAAGCTGTCGCCGCCCGCCCGCCCGAAGATGCAATGGGGGGTGGGAATTAAGTCACCCCCGAAAAGACGGCCTAGCCATTTTTTCAGGGCTCAAAAAAAAATAAGACCCGGCCTTATTATATGAGAAACACGGTAGCTTTACAAACATTCAGCCATAAAACATGATTTCTAAGCCATAAAGATGGAGTTCTATAAAACATATTAAGCTAGAACCAAACAACCTACCATAAATGGATACAAAAATCTATGCAATCTGTGTTGCATTCTCTGAAACCAACCAGTGTGCTAAATGTAGAATTGAAAAAGTCTTTTTGTTTCAGCCAGGAAATAACATCAAGAAAAATGATGGTATTTTTCTGCTTTCAACTGGATGTGGTACAGCTAAAACAAACAAAATCACCCTGGGTATATTTATAAACTTTACTATGTTGTTTAATTATTATAGTTTTTTTTCCAGCAACCATGCAGATTTTTTTGCAGATAGTACAACATACACAAACAATGAATCATATAGCAGAAAAAATGTCACCAAAAGTTTTATGATTAGTCATGATTCTTATGTAAGCATTTTATATAAGCTTTGGAATTGCAATACTAGCACTGAAAAAATAAGTTTGCATGATGTTTTAAACTTCCAGAGCAATCTATCTCCATCCAACTGTGCAAAAATATACATAGCCAGCCCTCATATAGATTAGTTGTGGCAAAACAAACTATCTGTACATATTTTGAGTGTTGTTAGAATTGATAGTCAAACCTACAAAAAGTACTAAAATGTAGCTACAGTAAATAAAAAATATCAAATGTTCATCTGCAATATAAACTTTAAAAAATTCAAAATATCATAAACCGTTCCTGTGAAACTGACCTAATTCCTCAAATCCACACCCTTTTTCCTCTACTGTAATTTTTTTTTATTGAAATGTCAAAAATCATACATTAAGTATCCACTGCACTAATCAGATATAAAAACATCTTAACTTTCTGGAAACTGTTATTATTAGCTGCTGGTTGCTCATTCACATGCATTTCCTCATCTATAGAAAACTTCAAAATAAAAGTTTCAGCATTTGGTTGATGGAATAATTAGTGCAAATGTGTCCATACAATGTTTTATAGAGCACAAATGCAGTTTTAATTATACATATAATACACATCAGACACAAATGTTTAGAAACTACACGAGGCTTATAATTGTTCCTGTAGCAATGTTAGAAATAAATGGCTATAAACTACCTCCTCCTAATCCACATCAAATTTCACTGACTAAATTGACTCTCCCTCTCCTTTTACGCCAATTAGCAATCTCACTAGATTGAGTAGACCATTTGTCTCCAATTTCATTTGCACAAAGAATGCCATGAATTTGTAGGTTGCTTTTGGAATGATAAATACTGAAAAACTTTATGAATGAAATGTAAAGTCAGAAAAGTTGAGAAACTTACCTTCCTTATTTTCAAGCAGTTGGGTTCCTCCCTTCCTCCTCTCTCATTTTTAAGCATCTGACTCACATCTGGAATCCTTAAAAAACAATCACTCATGCCTGTTTTAAGGGACTGTCCACAAATTCCCAGTAATATTATCTGAATACACATAGGAAACCCTTTTTTAATTTCTGGTTGTTCATCTTATTTTAGGTCCAGCAAAAAAAGCAGCTCAAGTGTTTTCTATCTGATGAGGATAATTTTAAACAAATGCTGTACATTTCAGTTTGTTTAGTCAAGCTCTAATTTCTGAAGCAAGGTTGTATCGACTGATAACATTATGTTCCATTAATGTAGTATCATGTGATGAGATTTCATATCCCCAAATCAATTACAGATCAGTGGACAATTAGGGTCTTCCTGGACTCTTAGTGGGTAAATATGGCCAAGAAACATTTATGACCAGTAAGACATTTACATAAGATTCATTAAGCCCATTGCAGGATATGGCATGTAAAGAACTTCCTGGTCCATATCCTGCAATGTGGGCAAGTGCAAAGGGCTTAAACTTGAAGACAACTCAGAAATAGCTAGTCCATAATGCGGCATCCCACTGCAAGCTGTACTAGTGACCAGTAGGCTTCCAAATACAAATCAAAGTGCTAGTTGTCATCTATAAGGCTGGTCATGTAATTATTTGTGGGACAGTCTCTCTCCTGTTTCTGCTTATTCAATAAGATTGAACAGAATTTAGCAATGTCACCTGATGGGAACCAGATGTGCAAAATGTACCTTTGCTGTTATAGTCCCTAATCATTTAGGTATACCTTAAAGACCAAGCTTTTTCTCCAGGCTGAGCTAGAGTGGGATGTTACAGTTTTTTTAAGTGGATGTTTGCTCCACAGGAATGACTACCCTTTTCTGCTGTTTGATGCTTTATATCCTTGTTTTTATTTTATATATACCCAAAGCCAAGGGGTTGAACAGCCTTAATAGATTTCATTTAGCTATTAACAGATGTATCTAAAGTTTTTTCTTCTGTATGTAGTGTATGTATTGTGGATCTTGTTTTTAAAAAAATGAAAATGAGGGTGAGAAAACAGCCTTTTTGAAATTAATTCATGAAAATCATTTACAATATTATTTAAAATTGTCCTTTTCCCACTTCCAGAGATTGTCAGAGATTGCCTGAACAAGTACTACCTGCAGCTATGCAGGTAATACATAAGAATAGTAGTGCAAGTCATAAGTTTGAAAAAGGTGTAAAAAAGCAAGCAACATCTCCACAAGACCCCCGAAAAGCCAATGCTGAAATTTTTCATTGTCACCAGCTGATGTGTGGGTGCAAACAAAATTCACAGTAAAACCTTTTTGAAGCTTTTTGTATTGATTGTATAGATAGAAGAGCAGGCCAGTTATAGTCGGGGGTTCCACTTTAGTCAGTGATCACTGCTATCAATATGCCAGGCACGCACAGAATTCTTGCACTGGCAAAAAAAAGATTGCAAACTTTTTACAGTCCCTAGACAAGTAGGCTTTACAATGGAGAAGGAAAAAGGAGACAGCACGTGATTTGCTGGCTGGGCTGCTGAAGAAAGGGGGGCACAGTCTGCTCCACCCAACAGGAAAGGAATCCCTGCCATAGGCAACTTTGCCAAGGCAGATGAATATGACAGATCTTTTTGGTTACTTTACGCAGAAGATAAACATGCTACAGCTCTGGCTTTTAAAACAATCATCACTCCCGTTATTTCCTCATTAAGTCTTCCTTAATGGATGCTGGGTGCTGTTTCTCCAGAGTTAAAAAAAACCCAAAAACCTCATGTTTAAGATTAGTTTTTCAGATGCAATCCCGAATTCCTGTTGTGGTGGTTTTTCCCTCAAAATGTCCCCTTCCTTTTCTTCATTCTGCAGGAACTTTCCAACTCAGAGCACTTTGGTTTTTTTCTTTTTGCAAACTAATATTATAATTATCTATTTGTCACACAAATCTGCTGAAATTAAAGCTTTTTCATATGGTATTTTATAAACAACTCACTATAATTGCTAAAAGAATATATTTTGGAGTACAACCAAACTACTAACTACTTATATAGTTGGGTCAGCTTTGCTATTCTAGCTTCAGTAATTTGCACCATTTTATCTCTTGGAAAGGGCAAAACTAATAATTCCCTAAAATAAAAAAATAGTTACATCCAAATCTGTGTCTGATGAGAAGGAAAAAAAGCCTTGATCCATTCTGGAAAACAGCACTAGTTGCTCTCTTGCAAATCCTGCATTGAATAACTGATTGACAACGATAAGAAATTTCCAATTTACTCTAAAATTATTAACATTATACCTCCTCCATGTTGTACGACAGAAATTAGTAAGTATCTTGTAACAGGATATTATCACTCAAGTGGCTAAATAAAATTTCCCAGTAATACAGATTTGGTAGCTCAGTGGTAAGTCACACAGCTTTGTATAAAAAAAATGTCCAGATGTAATTCTCAGCCTCTCCAGGCAAAATTGTCTAACGTAACAGATGATTGCAAAGGCTACTGCCTGAAAATCTAGAGACAGTGCCAGTCTCTAGAGATAAAGGCAAGACAAACTATTGCTCTGATTTACATAAAGCTATTGTTTAATGTTCCTAGAGATTCTCATCCCCATTCCACACACACACTCTCAGATACACACAGGCCAAATACTATTTTAAGAACATATTTTATACAAAATAACACATTCTTATGGGAATAAAATCTACAGATCTCTAAAGTTCAAAACTCTTTTTTTTAAAAAAGGAACCTTTAAAAATTATCCAAACACATCATTAAACTAGCTATTGAGGTAACTGTCACTGCCAGAGAATCAGTAGGACAAGAGAAAATATAAACAATATAAAAATAAATAGTATTCCCCTTTCCAGTATTGACCAGGAAAGTTCAAACCTAGCTCTTTGCCGTTTCCAAAGAGGAAAGAAAGGATCCCTGATACTATAGTCCATGGACAAGGGAATTGACCAGGGCTTTTCAGGAGCAATGAGGTACCTGAGCTCCAGGTGATAAATACAGAGGAAGATATGGGGACCGTTGCTTTCATCCATGGTGTTAAGTCTCTAAGCAATGGGCTGATGGTAGCTTCTGCAGCACAAGTTCACTCTGTGATGGGGTGGAAAGTTCATTGTTGTGCATAGCCCAGACTATGTCAGTCTCTTGCCAGAGTTTGTTAGATATTTTCACAGCTTGATGGTGAGAGATCTCTTACAATAATGACTCATAGTTCTGTAGACTAACAATTGTGTTGTATTCATGGAGACTGGGATTTGATGTGCAAGGCTTCCAAGACCAAAAACATTATCTAGACACTAGCATTCATAAAAAGAAACATTCTCTTTTCTCTGACTTTAACAGACAAATTACATTCTTTACAATCTTAATTACAATAAAATAGCTCCTTTCTACCCATACAATGCTTGACTCAAGACACAATATTTTAGGAATGGTTATGTTTGATAAACATTGCCAGGTCAAAATCAGATATTGACATATTTATACCACAAATATTTTCCAACAACTGGCCTCCATTCCCCCCCCTCCCAATTAGAAAACCTTTTTTTCTTTTATTTAGGATGGAAAATTTCTCATTCTACTTAATAAAAAATTCAGCTGGGTAATTAAAAATAAACAGGGCAATTAACAATGGAACAACTGGATACTTTAAAAATGTAGAAAGTTTGGAGAAAAAATATTTCTATTTCAGAGTTATTATTTCCAATAAGATTCAACTAACTGCCAAATCTAATTTGTAACTTTAGGAATGTTACAAAATGCTTCCCATTTAAATTTTTCAGGTACCTAACTAAACCAGGAGAAAACAGCATTATTGTTGCGCTTTGTTACTAAGTAATTTTTCTAGGTTGTAGCATCAAACTATTATGAAAAAGCAAAGTACCAGAATAAGCAGGTCATATAGTGAATTATTATATCTAACTTGCAATTTATACTTCTTGGGGGAATGAATAATTGTCACAATATTTAGAATCTGATATAATTTAATGAAATTGCAGCTTAGTGAAAAATGTACATTTTATGCTCAGCTAAGATGATGGCTAAATGTAAAGGTTTATATAAAAGGACATAAAGATTTTGTCTTATTTTGATGGCATCATTGATCATATAGAAAAGCCTTCCTCCAAACTGGGATTTTTTGGCCATCCTGATTGGGAAGTTCTTGAAATAGTTGCTCCATAAATCTGGACAATATCAGTTAGGAATTCTGCACTGTAGGACCTACTAATTATATATGGCAGATGTGTGTTCAAGACACATAATTGTTCTTCATTTTTACAGTTTATCAGCATCTAAATTCTCTTTAAAAAGCATGACAAAGCAAATTATTGACAAAATGTTTCTTAATAGAAAATATTCTTGACTCAAAAGATTATCATCTAAGATTTTAGCTAGCTTTAGCAGCTAAGTATATCTTTGAAACTCAATGTGAAGAGCAGGCTAACCTACAGCTTTTCTTCCAGATTCACAGTAAGGTGAGGAAATTATGTATTCAGATATGCTAGGTTTCAAAGTACCCATCACTGCTTTCAAGTACCCTTGAAGCTCACAGGGAGTATCAAGATAAATGTTCTCACCTTTCTCTTACTTGCACTCATTAAATTATCCTTGTCACTGGCATACGTATTCATGCAGACCTGCTACCAAAGTCTCCTTATTGGAATCTCGTATCTTCCATTTTCTAGATAGAATTTAAACATTCCATGTTAATGTGCTTCTACATATCTATTCCAATTTCTTCTCCAGAGTGCCTGCCTAGTCTGACATTATAAACTGCCATCTTCTATCGCTGCCTCATAATTTCACCACTGCAAATTTAAACATACAGGAAACGAAATCAGGGAAAATAGTTTATATTTTCTTTAAAAACTGAACATAGTAGTAAAAGTGAGCATTAAAAGATGCTTTATACAATGCTCACACTTCATTGTGAGGAAAGAAAGTCCAGCTTCCTTAACTCCTATAAAGGCCACTACAGGGCATAATTTAGTGAACACCCAGAGAACCCAGAAGTTGGGCCTTC